ATTTTTATATAATTGAATTATATTTATTTGATTATAAAAGTTAATAAATTATTCGAATCAGTAATAATCTGAATCCAAATTGATTCAAAGCCGAATTGATCCAAACCAAAATACACCAAACCTGAAATGATCTTGTTTTCCTTGACCTATATTCGACTTAATTCAAAATTGAAATGATCCAAACTTGAAATGATTTGATCGTTTCTTAACCTAAACCTAATTTGATTCGAACCCAAAATTAAAATTATGATTTCTATTCAATCCAAAATAAAATCAAACTCAAAATAACTCAATTCAAATTTGATCTAATTGGCCCGTTTATCACATTTTACAAACTAGAGATGTTCATTCCAAAGTCAAAATTGAACTCAAATTAATTATTTAGTAAAAATGATTTAATTCATATAATTATTTCACCATTCCTTAAATTATTTTGACAAAATATGACGTTTCTATGGTTCATGTAATGCTTTTAGTCTTTTTACTATTTATTTTTTTCATAGAAAGAATAAAAAAAAGAAATTGAAAAAAGAAAACAAATAGCAAAAAGCACAAAATAAAGCATTAACCAAACAAAGTTTCAATAACTAATTTTAATTCATTTGCTCTTTTATTTAATGATTTAATAATTTTTTTGAAACGTTTATTTTTATAAATATAAAAAATCAAAATTAAAAGGTTTGCTTGGAGTTGACAAAAATTTAATTTTGAATAATATAATAATTGATAAAATTTAATTTAAAATGGGTATTGTATTTAAATCCAACTCGATTTTCACTTTAAAAAGTTAATTAACTTGAATTTGACTTCATCAAATTTAATTAACCTAAACTTGACTTCTTAAACTTGGAAGTGGCTCCAAAATTATTCAAATTTTTTTAACCCAAAATGATAAAACTCCACCTACCCAATTGTAATTTTTTTTAAAAAAGTTGTTTGAAGGTTGGGCAAGTCCTCGACCAAAAAAGGTGATATGTTAAATTTGGTTATGCAACATTAATAAATTTTTGTTATTATTTATTTATATTAATATTAAAATCGTAGTAAGGTAGTATTACAAGTTAATTGAACATTAATTCAATTAAAATTTTATTTAAAAACTAAATTAAATAATAACAAAATAAAGTTAAGGATATTTAAGTATTTATTTTTTTTAAACTAAAATAATTTTTTGGCCAAAAAAACTAAAATAATTTTTTTACATTCATTTAAAAAGTAAGTAAATTTAGAAATAATTGAAGTTTAGAAATGGTTAGGTGAAAGACGGAAAAGATAATTGATGGATTTTTTAATAAATTTGACGACTCAAAATATGCCAAAAAAATGTAGGAAAAGTACTTTGCTACTTTTATATAAGAATAAAGGTGAAATGCAAAATTATTCAAATTATCAAGGAACAAAACTTATGAGTCATACTATGAAATTTTAGGAGAGAGTAATTAAATGTAGGTTACAACATGAGGTTACTATTTTTGAAAACCAATTTGGTTTTATATCAAAATGTTCCACAACAAAAGTAATTCACCTATTGAAGCTTTGTTAGAGGGTTTTCGATTGAGAATGAAATATTCACATATGATATTTATCAACTTGGAGAAAACATACGATAGAATTCTTCAAAAGGTACTTTGGTTGGCTTTAATGAAAAAATGAGTTCCTTTAAAAAATATTAACATAGTTAAATATATAATTGAAGGAGTGGTAACCAATGTGAGGACATTTGGGGTGTGACTGATAACTTTTCCATTACCTCAAGGTTGCATTAAGGCTCAATACCAAATTCATTTCTTTTTGCATTAGTTATGGATGAGCTCACTGGACATGTTCAAGATAAAGTGCCATCATATATGTTATTTGCCAATGATATAATATTAGTTGCTAAAACCAGTGACAACCTTAATGTGAAATTAGAATTATGGAGACATATAATAGAGTTTTGAGACTTTAAATTGAGTAAATTTAAAACTGAATATATGTAATATAATTTTAATAATTATAAGGAAGTGAGTGCTAATATGATTAAGTTAGATGGTGAAATAGTATCAAAGAATAGTAATTTTTGATATTTAAGATCAATTATTCAAAGTAATGTTGAGATAGAAAGAGATGTAAATCATAAGATTCAAACAAAAAAGTGAGGTAGCAAAGTGCATTGGGTGTTTTGCATGAACATAATATGCCTTTAAAGTTGATGGTGAAGTTGTATAAAATAACTGTAATCCTTATATTTTTATATGGAATTAACTGTTGAGTTGTTAAAAAATAATATGGAGAAAAAAATGAGCATTAGCTAAGATAGAGATACTTAAATGAATGTGTGGTAAGACTAAGAAAGACAAAATCAGAAATGAAAAGATTCAAAAGAAAATTAGGAATAGTTCGAATTGAGAAAAATAAGAGAAGGCCATTTGAGATGGTTTGAAATAATGAAACATAAACATATTTGTGCACCAATTAAGAGAAATGAACTTTTAGATTTAAGAGAGACCAAAATTTCTAAAGATAGACCATAAAAGATATAAATGCAAGTAATAAAAAATGATATGAGAGTTAAAAAAACTATGTCAACTATTTAGGTGAGATGGTGATCTAAGAAATGGTGAATTAGATTTCTCTAAATTCTTCTCAAACAATGATTTCAAAATAATTGAATGAAAAATTAAAATTAATATCACAATATAATGTAAATGACAATAAATTAATGAACTTGAAGCAAATATAAACTATAATCAAAATAAAAAGATAGGGATAGAGAAATTAAACACAAGGATTTATAGAGGTTCGGTCATTCTTCACAAGGCACCTATGTCCTCTCTTTTAGTTGTCCACACCAAGCTTCAATCTACTATTCTTAAATTAAAAATACAACTTTATCTTTTTTTCTCTCTAAGGATTAAGATAGAAACTTTATGCTCTCTACTTTATAAGCTAAGTAGCAATCTCTTAATCTCACAAATTCAAGAGAATGCATCATCTCTTGATTACAAAATCACCTAATAAAAATACAAACTTAAAACACCTTTCAAAGGCTAAATGTTTGCCTAATGAAGTACAAAGAAATTTGATGAATGAACAACAACAATGATTTGGATATAGCAAATAAAAAATATAGACTTTAAAGCTCTAAAACTCTTAACATTTTTCAGATAATGAAAATATGACTTGTTTGATTTTACTCTCTTAATTCATTAACCTCTTTGGTGTGTTAAAATGGCCAATATATAGAAAAACTAAAGAAGTAGCCATTAGGGATGGTTTGGAAGAAAAAATGCCTATTGAAAGCATAAAAAAACTAGCCGTTGGAGTGATTTTGAAAAGACCTAATCGATATCTTCCTTGAGGGGATTGATTGATTCATGTTTTGGAAGCCATTTCATGCCTTGCAAAAACACGACCTGATCAATAACTTTATGTAGGGGATCGATCCTGTTAAGGGGGTGATTGATCCCCTACATAGAGTGATCGATCTCTTCTTCAACTTGAGCACAAAGAGACATTCTGGATAAAAAATCAATCAATCTTTTCTTGAGGGGATCGATCCTATCAAAGCTGAATGGTCGTATTTTATTTTGTACTTTACTCACTAATTTGATCATATCTTGAGTTATACAAATTCAAATAAAAAATCGTTTGAAGATTTAGAAACTAAACTTAAAGGACTTTCTATCCATATAAAATTCATCACCTAATTCATTATGTACGAATTATAGTAAATTTTCAAAGCTACCATTTGTGTAGTTTTTAGACAACTATAAAGTGTCTAGTAAAAATTCAAAATATTTTCTTAGAAAATTTAGATTTAGATTTTGTTTGATCCATTAGAAAGTAGACTCAAAGAGTTTTTCAACCATATAAAATTCAAATATTAAAACTTTGTGAATTAATACAAAAAAATAAAAAAAATTCAATGTTAGAAAACTTTATTATTATAAAATAACTTTCTTAAGTGAATCTATTTCTCAAAACCAATATTATCAAAATTATATTAAGTCCAAAATGAATAAATTCACTTTAAAAATAATAATTGGACTTTCATTTAAGATCAAATAAATAATCTTTAAAGATAAATTTGGTTTGAGAAATATAAAAATAAAGAAATGTTTGTTTGCACTATGAAAAATATATTATTTATTTAATATCAAAATATAAAACTTAAGAACATGTATTAAATAAGTTTTTTTAAAAATTTTGAATAAGTTTATTTAACTTAATATTTTATCATTTCAAAACAAAGATCAATTTAAAACTAACAAAATAAATAAAAATATTATTTTTGATAAAAATAAACGGTAAAAAAAATTCAAATTGCTATTTAATATGATTTTTTTTTTTATCTTTTAAACAATCGATTTTAAAGTTATTAGGCTCCTTTTGGTTTTAAAAAATAGAACTATTTTTTATTTTTATTTTTATAAAAAATAAAAATGATAAAGAAAGCATGTTTGATAGTAATTTAATGAAAATGTTTTTTAGGAAATGAAAATGAAATTGTATCCAATTTAGAGAATGAAAAAAAATCTACTTTCATCCTTTTTCAACGAAACAAAAGAAACACAAGAAAATAACGAAAACACGAATAGACAACTCTCATTATCAAGCCTCATTTTCGTCCTATGTTCGATACTCTCAAAAGCCGAATATAGAAGCAAATGTTAAAATTTTAATTAAAAAAAGCGCAATTCTCATTGCTTTCAACTTTTCAAGGGTCCTAATATTATTCGACAATCATTTGATCATTTGATCGATTGATCTAATAAATAAGTGTAATAAACCAAACACTTTTTTTTTTCATTTTCAGAAATGATTTTTTATTTTTATTAACCAAACACATTTTTAAATGAAATAAAAAATAAAAAATAAAAAATAAAAAGTACTTTTAAAAAATAAAAATAGAAAATAAAAAAGAAAAATGCTTTTACAAACCAAACATTACCTTATTTTTTAGTTTTAAAACAATGTTTATTTTTTTTAAATTAATAAACATTTTCAGCCACATAACATCGGTTGCGTCGAAATTTAGGATAGCATATTTTTTTAATATGGAAATAAATATGGGTAGATGCGCTGTCCGGTGCCATTTCCCTGAGTAAAATGAAAAATGAATAAAAGCGGCGGCCAGGACAGCCAATGGATGTAAAAGCAAACGCAATGGACGACCAACAAGATCCAGAAGACCCAAAGCCATCTCTCTTCCCTCTTTTTCCTGCCGCCGGCACCGCTGCTACAGCTAATACTGCTGCTACAGTTACTAGTAGTAGCGTCCCCCAATGGCTTTGCAACCCTAGCTTCACCAGTGACCTTTCCCTAATTAACGACGCCGTTTCCTCTCTTCCACGCTCCCTGAAGGTGGAAGAAGAAGAAGAAGAAGAAGAAGAAGAAGAAGAAGAAGAAGAAGAAGAAAAGGAAACGAAGCCCAATTCTTACGAGCTAGTTGAGGAGGAGGGAGAGGAAGATTCTGATGAAGAAATGTACGACGAGAGAAAAAAGAATAAGAAAAAGACAAAGAGTAAGAGGAAGAATAAAAAGAGAAAGATGTCGAAAGAAATTGGTGATTCCAAATCCAAATATGTTCACGCTAAAGATTATTATTTTGATTCTCATCCAGATCCTCATAACTTCTCCTACGGCTCTCTCTACAGGTTCTCTATCTCTCTTCATTCCTTCATTCCTTTTTATTACTTCAATTACTTGCTTTTTCTTTGTTTTTGATTTAATTCTTCAAAACGCTAATAGCAAAAATGAAATTCTCTGCTAATTTGACATTTTACTTTTGACTTTAGTAGCAATAAAAATGAAAATCACTTTTATTAAACATGTGATTAATAAAAAATCAATATAAATACATTCTAAATAAATTTTCAAACTCACCGATTAGTTAAAGAAAATAATTAGGATTTTCAAATTAAAATGAATGTAAAAGTGAAGATGAAATTAATTTTTTGACCGTTTTAAATAAATTTTAGTGGTGTCATTATAGGTTAGGGAAAACACTAATTTTTTATACTAATTACATATATATATTATTAATTTTTCAAAAATTGAACTATTTTAGGGGGGCTACGCCACTGGTTTCTACATCTTCCTGTTGGACTTGTTTTGTTTCTTAATATCAAAGTGGACTTTGATAAAAAAAATAACCAAAGGGTTTTAACACTTTTCTTGGTTTGCTGAACCTGAGACATTCAAAATTGATTGTCTAACGTTTTCTATTGCAGGATGGATGTTCCGTGCTATAAACTTTATAATCCTGAACAATTATCTGGATTTATGTCCCAAGGATTGTACCCTAGTATTCAGAGGTTTTCAGCATTTGATAAAGATGCTGATATTGATGCCTTGGATGCTAAGCTACGGTCTGCTGGTCGATACTGGTCTCCTAACAATGCTGCCCTCCAATACCATAACAACTTCAAGCATCTTCGTCGATTTGCCCCCAAAAATTTTTCACATTTTATTCCTGCTGATTTCATTCCTTTATCCGATATTCAATCATTGCCTCAACTTGGTGATGAAAGTTCCATCTCACACAATTCAATCATTGAAGAATCTTGGGAGGATGAAGTGCTACGTAAAACACGGGAATTCAACAAATTGACTAGGGAGCATCCCCATGATGAAAAAGCATGGCTAGCCTTTGCAGAGTTCCAGGATAAGGTTGCCAGTATGCAACAACAGAAAGGTGTTCGCTTACAAACTCTTGAAAAGAAGATTAGCATACTTGAGAAGGCAACTGAGCTTAATCCGGATAATGAACAACTCTTGCTTTTTCTTATGAAGGCCTATCAAAAAAGGGATGATACTGATGTGTTGATTGGGAGATGGGAAAACATACTGGTGCAGCATTCGGGGAGTTATATGTTGTGGAGAGAATTTTTACATGTTGTTCAAGGGGAGTTCTCAAGATTTAAGGTTTCAGATATTAGAAAAATATATGCACATGCAATCCAAGCTCTATCTTCTACCTGCAACAAGCAGTTTAGGCAGGTTCTAAATTTAGTGCGTTTTAGTTTTTTTTTTTCTTTTGTTTCTCTGGTATTTGTGATGAATGATACTTTCTTTCTGGTGCATTTTTCAATTAAATCAGTGCTGTCAAGTAATGCCTGGTGTATGTATTTTGTCAAGTTATATGAACATATATTTATAACTGCATTGCATTTATAATGTTAAAGTTTACTGATTTAGTCATCTGATGTTATAACTCCAGCATTTCTTTTGGTCTGATAATGCAAATTGATGACTGATTCTGTACAAACTAATATATCATTACCAAGTTCCATGTACTGATACCTCTGTCTATTAGCAGAACTCATAAGTTGACATCTTGGAGTTTATATCTTTCCTTGAATATATTACTGGAATAACCTTGTAGTAATTGCAGGAAATAACGAGTTTGTCCGTGGAGGTGAAAGCTTCTAATTTGTTAAATTGCAAAACAAATGATATTAAAGGTTTTCGTTCTGTGGCTATTTCATTTGTATAAAAAATGTAGTCAAACTTGAATCATTCGACATATTGGCTCATACCACTAGAATTGGGCCTCTGATCTCATTCAAACCTAAGTTTCCCTATGCTGGTTTAAAGGGCTAACATAAAACCTAGAAAGAAATCTATGAACTATCAGCAAATTCCAAATTGATCCAAATCACCAAAAACTCATGAAACTTTTTGCTTGAAAAGTTTTCACTATGCGGAAAGGCCTATAACTCTCAAGCATCATTGGTTGATGACTTTGCTATACTGATTAAACCTTGAAATATTGTACCATGATAGTTAAAACTTGGGAATACTCTTCTCAATATAATGTCGTATGCAGACCCATAAAATAACAACAGCTTATTTAGTGTTTCCATGTTGTTCATACTTTTTTTGATACTGTTGGTTGATATGAATTAGAGATCTTTAATCAGCATTCAATTTCCATCCCCTTCCTGTCTTTTACATTCTATAGACTTGAGATTGTAAAAAGCTCATTCAAAATAAGACAAGTTTGTTTAGCTTGGTTTTGATGCATGATCAATCTTATGCAGATTCATCAAAGTAGTAAGCCTACGGATTCTGCTGTGGTCCATCTGGAGCTTGGTCTGGTTGATATATTTCTTTCCCTTTGTAGGTTTGAGTGGCAGACTGGTCATCAGGAGTTGGCCACCGCATTATTTCAAGCTGAAATTGAATTTAGTTTGTTTTGCCCTTCTTTATTGTTAAATGAGCATAGTAAACAGAGACTGTTCAAGCACTTTTGGGGTAGTAATGGTGCAAGAGTTGGAGAAGAAGGGGCTCTTGGATGGTCCATGTGGTTGGAAAAGGAAGAAGAAAAGAGGCAGAGAGTTATGAAAGAAGAGATTTTGGATAAGAATGATGAGGGTGGTTGGACTGGTTGGTCAGAACCATTGTCCAAATTTAAGGAAACTAGCACAAATCTTGAAAATGTTGCTCACAATGATGTGACAATTGAGGCATTTGATGAGGAAATTGAGAATGAAGATATTAAGCAAGAAGATGATACTGAAGCATTGCTGAAACAGCTAGGCATTGATGTTGGTGCTGTGGCCAGTGACGAGGTTAAAGACACTTTGACATGGGCTAGATGGTCACAAGAAGAGTTCTCTAGAGATTCTGCTCAATGGATGCCTGTTCGTGCAAAATCTGGTCTTTCTCTATCTATCTCTCTGCACAGACACAAACACACAACACACACCCACCCACACACATTTGCATGTCTTTTTGTCTGACTCACTCCAAGTGGAGTATGTTTGAATTCTTGTGGATGCATTTGGGGTTTATATCATATTTTTGTTTTATCAGGGATGGTTAAAATGTTCCTTTTTTTTTTTTTTTTTTTTTCTGGGTGAAAGGTTTTATATCATAAGCACCAATCTAAAAGGTTAAATAGTGACTTCTCTCTGTAGTCTCCACCCTTAACTGTAAGCTATCAGAGCTTATCTTAATTTTAAAATTTTCTGGAAATATGAGGAGAGCCTCTAAGCTGATATAGCGATTTTGCTTCTCTTTTTTTTTTTAATTTTGTTTTTACTTTTTAGGAAATCATATTCTATTTTTTATTCTCTTATCATAAATTTGGTTGTTTTGATTTATTCTCATTTCTAATGACCACTAAACTTCAGCTGTCATCTGGATGCTATACTTGGCACTAAGGATGCACTTTCCTTTGGGTCTGTTTTTTAATTAACTTTTACATGCTTTAAACAATTTATTTTATTTTATGGAAAATTTAATAGAATTTATGATATATGAATATAAAAGCTTATAATTTGATGTTCATATATACCTACAGTATTTTGCCCCTGTTATTTTGAGATAAAACTTGGTTTTGCAAGATTTAACATATTTTTTGACATTATTTTTGTAGTATGTAAGTATATTTTTTCATGCTAGTTATTTGCTCATGTGTGTTGCACGTCATCCATAGTGTTATTTATAAAGAACAATTAACTTACATAAAAATAAACATAATACAATTATATTTTAGAAAGAAACAATTTGCTACTTATCAAGGATGATGTATGTAGGACTAATATTCATCATTAATTTCTTTGACCAAATGCCAATTTTGACGTACCATTGAAGAAAATAAAAAAAAAAGATTCACTGATTTGAAGCCAATGCCAAAACAAGTATTGTTGAAGTCTTGTGTATGTTATCACATTAATTGTTAAAACAAAGTCTTGTTAATGATTCTTTAATCTTGAAGGTGATAATGGAACTCCTACCCTTAGTCTTATTTACAGGTTTTTGTTTTTATTGATCCTCACATAATTGGGCTTTTTAATTGGTGTTTATTCTAAATTATAACCCTGAAAATAATTCAATAAATTAAAATTCAAAATTAAAAATTCTAATAAAAATTGAATTATAATGGCAAGATGGATGAGAATGTCCTTTTTCTTTAATCAAAATTTGTAGACACATCCATGCTTATATATATATATATATATATATATATATATATTGGTATTTCTTCTTACATAGTCACACGTGAATATTTTTTTATCTATTTTTTAAATAATAATTATATATTAAAAATAGAGTTTTATATTGTACAAATAATTGAAACTAATAAAGTGCATATTAATTGAAATTCACATTCATATGTATAGTTTATCACATGTGCAAAATATATCTGATTAAAATAAGTTCTGTTGCTTCTACCATTAATGTAAAATTAGAACTTAGAAGTTAAAGTAATTCCAAGTAAAGTTTAACTCTTTGTTATTTATTAAGTAAATCCATTTAACGAAAGTCTTTCCATGGAATTAGAATTCTTATTTATAAATTGGATAAATCGTATTAATATATAATATAAAAATTAAAATAACAATTGAGAAATATAATGAAGAAAGATTTTTTGTATGTCAATCAAAAGTTTCCTAATATCCACACTTTTAATCATTATAGACAGACTGTGATTTACAATTATCTGGAACAACTACACATATGTACTTAAGTTGCTGGTCATAAAACAGGTGCTGTCACTAATATTCATGGGACACCCAATGAAGAAGTGGATGAGCAATTTATGAGAGAGATATTATATGAAGACATATGCGAATACTTGTTCTCATTGAGCTCTGCTGAGTCTCGCTTGTCTCTAGTATTCCAATTCTTGGATTTTTATGGTGGGAAAATCTCCTCTTGGTAAGTTTCACCTTATTCACCTTTTGATAATTTGATGTAGTTTTGTGTAAAATCTATCTTATTCTGTCTTGCTCATCACTATTCTTTGATCCACTCTCTGCCATCTTGTCTGTTTGTCTATTTCTATAACTTGCATACATACTCACTCACACAAACAACAAATACTTTAAATTTTGGTTTCCATGTACGAGGCTGAAAATTATTTGGATAAATGATGGTTTATACCCAGGTTTTACCTGCTTTCTGAATTTTCTTTTTGGTCCAGAGCATTTCATCTATTATGGAATATATTTCTGAAATATGTATAATAGAATTAGGGCATGCTTAGGTGTGGTGAATGTCTAATGGTATTTGTAGCTTGTTACTGATAATTTTATATAAACACAGGTTATTTAATTCTATTTGACTGGACACTATGGGAGGAGATGTCATAATCTATTGACTGATAACCATTATTAGTTTTGGTACATTTATTAAAGAGTGCTTGTGTAATGAATAGGCTTCACTGTGTTGGGGAAGTGATATTATTTGATTGTTCTGTAATTAAAATGAGCAGTACCATGTATTCATTTAGTTAGTTAGGTTGTTCTCAATTCTGCCAAAATTTTTTAAGAGTTATTTGAGTTGAACAGAATTTATTGGATTTCAAGGTTTTGCAATTATGTAGTCTACTTTGACAACTTTCTGAACATGGATTGACTTTGAACTTGTCTTGTAGAACCTCTAATCTAGTTAAAATATTTGAAGTGAGCTTCTATTCACATCCTTTTTTTACTCCTCACACTTTTTTTTTTCAAAATCATTTTTAAATAAAATTACTTAATTATCCTTTCTCTTTTCTCTTCACACCCCTTTCACTTTTAAGCTTCTGGATTTGCAAATCTGGTAGCTTTTAAGAGTTTCAATATTACAAATCCGAAAGCAATTAAAAGCCTTTGGATTTGCAATCTAGAAGTTTTTAAAAGTTTTCGGATTTGCATATCAGAAGCTTAAAATTTTCTATAGGATATTTTTCTTAACTGATTTTTTTCCCCAAACCTAAATGTAACCCTTTTTAATTTATTGGATATGAAAATATGGTAAGTTATATAATTTACCGGAAATGCATATCCAAAAACTTTAAAACTGAGACAATAAGGGTAATTAAGTAATTTTACTTAAAGAAAAATTTAAAAAAAAAAAGTTGGATGTGGGGAGAAAAAATGGGGCTGTGTTTAGAACCTCTCATATTTGAATGTCAACTAATTCAAATTTGTTGAAGGAAGAAGATGATTTTACCTAGAAAGTGGATGACTGATTATGCTGTTGACTTAGAAAACATTCATTTCCAACAATTTTTTGTCTGTTTTGGAGGTTTTCAATTTTCATGGTTCTTCCTCAAGATGCTTTCCGTGTGGAAAATGCCACCTGAAAGTTATATATTCTTAGTCATTAAAGATGACCAAAATTTTTGTATGAGAAATTGTTGGGCCTCTCTACTATTGTTTTTCTTTTTACCTTGTCAAGGCATGATGCTCCATGTTAAGAGTTATATTGTTTGGTCAAATGCAACAGTGGCCTGGTTTTAGGCTGTTTAGAGGGGACGGTTGCATGAGAGTGTAAACATCTAACACCATGATGTGTAAAGGCATTAATATATTAATGATTTAATGTTTGGATGAATAAGTCATTAACAGTAACCTTTCTTTCCCCTTATTTCTAGGGTTTGTACCAACAGTTCTAGTTGGACTGAGAAAATTCTTAGCCTGGAGGAATTACCTGATTGTATTTGGCAAAATATGAGAAGACTGCATGATGAATTTACCACATCACAGAGTAAGTCTGGTGAATTCAGTTTGGAATTCCTTTTGGACAGTGCTAGAGGAATCCCTCAGAGGACTGAAATGATGAAATTTCTTCGCAATGCGGCGTTGCTTTGTTTAACTGCTTTTCCCCGTAATCATATATTGGAAGAAGCTGCCCTTTTGACAGAAGAGCTTTTTGTAACAAAAATGAACTCTTCTAGCAGTTCAGGTGCCCCATGTCAGGCTTTGGCGAAGAGCCTTCTAAAATGTGATCGGCAGGTTTTTTTTTATTTCTTCTACCTGTCTAATGGTACATTCATGTGGATTGAATCCGACACTTGCTTGGCAGATATTTTTTATTTATTATCATGAAATGCATGATTTGTTTATGTTGACCATGAGCCCACTGAATATTTTAGTCAGTTTCCATCAACCAGCAGGAATAGTGATGTTTTCGACGAAGTGTCTATGAGATTTTCTCAGTCAATAAAAAGAAATAACACCGTTGGCAATAGAAAAGCAAGTTTATATATGAGTCTTTTCTCTTGGTGATAGAATACAAGTTTGCTTCTGAATTCTTTTAATTGTTTCTTTAGTTATTTCCTTTGTTTAAACATATCCTTAGGTTGCTAAAAGTGTATGGTGTGCAGTGTCGTATTTAGTCATTATCCGCTTATAAATGCCTAAATGGTATGGTGTGCTACTTTATCTATTGATGTAAATTTTTGGTATGATTTGTATTTTCTCGCTTTATTCATTATAGGAAAATATCCCTTTCAAACTATTTCTACTATTGGATAGGATGATTTTAGTTCAAATTATTTTACTTTTTTTTTCCCTATTTCATTTCCATGTTTTGGTTGCATTTGGTTATTGCTTTTGATACTTACTTTTTGCTTCTAGAAGGAAAAAAAACAAAAAGTAAATTTGGTTAATAAAAGAAAATAATATCTTTGAATAATTAAAATTAACATTGTATTTTTTGGAGAACAGAATGCATGCTTTTACTTTTATGAATAGTAGTTTTGGATTGTTATTACATTTTAGTTGTTCGTTTATTTTTAATCAAATATTCTTTTTCCAATTTGAAGAAATCTCTAGAATAAAACTATTTTATTCTTCTATGGTTTTCTTATTATAATGTTAGAATTGCATGAAAATATATAGGCTAAAAATTGAATGTTCATAGTCTTAAAACTCGAGGTTTTCATACATTAAAATAAGTAATCAAATGAGTAATTTACTTTCTACACATAATAGGAAAATAGCTAATGGATTTGGTGTAATTACCTAAATCACTCCTTATTCTAAAAATTAGAGACTTAACTAAAATAGATAAAGATAAAGTAAACTAATTAAGCAATAATGAAGATTAGATTTTCACACTCCCCCTCAAGCTGGGTGGTAGATGTCAATCATGTCTGGCTTAGACTTCAGATTCTTGAAGTTGTTTTGAGAGAGAGCTTTAGTGAGTATGTCTGTAGTTCGGAGGCATGTGGGAAAATGAACTAATCTAACAATTCCTTCCTCTATCTTCTTTTTGATGAAGTGACGATCAATCTACACATGTTTGGTCCTATCATGATGAATAGGATTCTTTGCTATACTTATGGCATCTTTGTTGTCAAAGAATATCTTCATGGATTCTTCTGTAGAGACCTTTAACTCCCCTAGCAACCTTTTCAGCCAAATTCCCTTACATATGCCATGAGACATAGCTCTAAACTCAGTTTCCGTGCTACTTCTAGCCACCACAAACTGCTTCTAGCTTCACCAATTAACCAAATTTCCTCACACATCGGTACAATAACAAGGAGTTGATCTTTGATCAGTAACGGATCCAGCCCAATCAGCATCAGTGTAAAATTTAACATTTCGGCATGATGTTTTCTTAAAAAATAACCTTTTGCTAGGACTTTTCTTTAGGTACTGTAAAATTTGATACACAGCTCTCAAGCGTTCCTCGGTTGGGTTGTTCATGAATTTGCTTACCATGCTAAATGAAAAATCAATACCTGGTCTTTTATGAGAGAGGTAGATGAGTTTCCCAACAAGTCTTTGATATCAGACCCTTATTTGTTGGACTTCCTTCTTCCATTCCTACCTTATTTATTGTGTCCCTAGGGGTGTCAGCAAGTTTGCATCCAAGCATTCTAGTTTCCTTTAGTATGTTTAGGACATACTTATGTTGTGAGACAGATATGCCATTCCTTGAGTGAGCTACCTCCATGGCAATAAAATATTTGAGGTGTCCCAAATTTTTGATTTCAAATTCTTTGGCTATGAGGTTCTTTAGGTTGTTAATTTCTTCCACATAGTCTTCCATAAGAATAATGTCATCTACATAGACAATAAGAATGGTGTGATCGGTCTGGCATTGTAAAAAACCATACTTCTTTATCACTTTTGTTAGTCTATCAAACCATGCATGTTGGGATTATTTGAGACCATATAAAGACGTTTGAAGTTTACATGCATTGCCAGAATTGTCTTGGTTTTTGAATTCTGGAGGGATTTTCATGTAAACTTTTTCTTCTAAGTCGCCATTAAAAAATGCATTTTTGACATCTATTTGTTGGAGTGGCCAATCTAGCTTTGTTGCCAATGATAATAACACTCGGATTGAATTAAGTTTAGCAATTGGAGTAAATGTCTCCTTGTAGTCAACACCATAGGATTGAGTAAATCCTTTTGCAACAAGGCGAGCTTTAAATCTGTTAATGCTTCCATTTGCGTTGTGCTTGACAGCAAAAATTCATTTGCACCCAACTGGAATTTTCTTTTTGGGTAGTTTTGAAATCTCCATGTTTTGTTCTTTTTTAGGGCCCTGATTTCTTCTAAAACAACCATCTTCCACTTTGGTTGCATAAGTGCTTCATGAATATTATTGAGAATCTACATATTGTTTAGTTTGGTAACAAAAGCTCAATAATTGAGTGATAAACCTTCATAAGAAACCACATTATAGATTGGGTGTTGAGTACATGATCTCACAGCATTTCTTAGAACAATCGGCTGATCATGATCATCAAAAGATTTAATAGAATTAGATTCAGTAAGAGTGTTACTTGTGTTGGTTTCAAGTATCTCTGAAATCGGTTTAGATTCTTTGTTTTGCTTTGAAGGTGTACATTCTCTTAGATCCTTAAGAGTTTTATTTCTTCTTGAATAGACAATCAATTCTTTGTTTGTTTTCCCTTGTGTGGACTTTAGGCTTGGAGGATTTGATTGGATGTTTTGAACGTGAAAGGGAGTTTATGAAGTGTTTGGTGGTTTGGTAATAGAATCTTCCCAAAGTTGATATTTCCATGTGATTCATGGAATGATAAAATTTCTTTGTTACTGGTGAGTAACACTTGTATCCTTTTTGATTCGGGGAGTATTCAAGAAATATGCATTTGATGAATTTGGGATCTAATTTGCTTTGGTTTTGTTGGCTGGTAAGAACAAATGTAGTGCATCCAAACACTTTAATGGGAATAGACAAGATGATTTGAAGGTGGGGATAGGAATCGAGAAGGGATTGGCAAGGGCTTTGAAATTTTTGGACTCAAGAAGGCATTTTGTTTATAAGATATTAGTGGTCAGAATAGCCTCACCCCAAAAAATGCTTAGGTACATGGGCAGTCATCATGAGGAATCTTGCAACTTCCAACAAATGTTGATTCTTTCTTTTAGCAATGCTATTCTACTGAGGAGTATCGACACATGAGCTTTGATGAATTATACGAAGCTTCATTAGATATGATCCGAGGGTTGAATTGTAGTATTCTCTCCCATTGTCGGTTCTCAACACTTGGATTTTGGTTTTGAATTGAGTTTGGATCATATTGTTGAAGTTTTGAAATAGCTGGCCCACTTTTAATTTTTCTTTCATAAGGAATACCCAAGTAACCTTGGTGTGATCATCAATAAATGTGACAAATCATTTTGGAGCCAGAATTGTTATTTACTCTGGAAGGACACCAAATGTTATTGTGTATCATTGAAAAAGGATGGGAGGATTTGTAAGGTTGATTAAGATATGTGGTACGGGTATGTTTGGATAGTTGGCAGACTTTACACTTAAAGTTGTTAGAATTTGTATTGAATAGTGAGGGAAACAACTTTTTGAGGTACAAAAAATTTGGATGACCTAACCGATAATGCCACAACATGATAGTACTATTTTTATTATTATTGGAGGATGAAGCCACACGAGATATTCTGATATTGTCTTTTGGAATCATTAGCTCTTAGGATATAGAGTCCTGCACACATCCTAATATTACCAATAACTTCTAGGAGTCCAAATCTCACACATATTTGGAAGAAATTTAGTAACCCACTTAGGGTCTCTTGTAAGTTTGCTTATAGATAATAGATTGCAACTTAGATTTGGGACAAATAGAACAGAATCAAGTGTTATCTCTTTGGAAATAATAATAGAACCTGTACCGGCCAATTTTGAAAGTGTCCCATCAGCAATTCAAATTATGAAGTTTTCATGACATGGGTTGTATTTACTACATACAGATGCATTTTTAGTCATATGGTTTGAAGCTCTTGAATCCACAATCCATGAACTTGATTTCTCTAGTTTTACACTTAAAACACTGAGAAAATTACTTTTTTGTGCTAAAGAACCTGTTCCAATAGGATTGGTAATGTTTTGCAATGATTGTTTGAACATCGTTTGGAGAAGCTCCAGTTGTTCTTTGCTAAAAGGACTTGGTTTGGCTGAGATTGAATTTCAGTAGTAGCTAAGTTGCCATGGCTGTCTTAGTCTTGTTAAGACCACGAAGGTTTCCAGTTGGCTGGTTTCTTGTAGATCTTCCAACATATTTCCTTTGTGTGTCCAATTTTTTGACAGTGGCTGCACGTAGGTTTGCCTTTCTATTGCCGATCATTGATGTTCAACTGGGATCCTTGGATAGCTAGGGTCGAATTTTCAGGAGTTGGAGCAGCTATTTGTGTCCCTATCATTATTTTTTTCTATTTTTTTCTCTGTGAACTTTTCAAAAAGCTTCTCAAATGCTCGGCAAAGGCTTGGTGCTAACTTCCTCGGACTGCATCAAGGTTCTTGTCAAGATTAAGTAGAAACTTGTATGCTCGATCCTTCTCAACCAACTTCTTGTATTGCTTTCCATCGTCAGGGCACTTCCATAACACCTCTTCAAGAATATCAAGTTGCTGCCAATGTTGGATCAGAAGGTTGAAGTATTCTGTTACTGAAAATTCACCTTGTTAAAGATCATGGAGAATACTCTTGATTTCAAAAATTTCTGAAGTGTTGTCAACATTGGAGTATGATTTCTTTGCTGCATCCCAAATCTCTTTGGCTGTTTTGTAGTATATGAAATTTTCTCCAATCTCATTGGTCATATAACTGATTAACCATGACATCACTATATTGTTCTCCAACTTCCAGCTTTCGAACCTTGCATCACCCGCTTCTAGAGGTGCAGCTACTCCAATAAGATAATCTTCTTTCCCCTTTCCACACATGAACATCATAAGAGATTGGGACCATTGAATATAGTTTTGCTTGTTGAGTTTGTGCCCTATAATTTGAAGGACTGATCTTTTGGGTACACGGGTTTTTGGTGACGCTAGCTCCGGGGTTAGAGGTAACATCCGACGTCGAGCTTTCTTTTTTGCTAGTCATGCTAGACTCCGAGTGCAGAATTTCAAAGGTTCAGATCGTGCTCTGATACTATGAAGAAATCTCTAGAATGAAACTATTTTATTCTTCTATAGTTTTCTTATTACAATACTAGAATTGCTTGAAAATATATAGGTTAAAGACTGAATATTCTTAGCCTTAAAACCCTAGATTTTCATGCATTAAAACAGCTAATCAAAGGAGTAATTTACTCTTTACACATAATACGAAAATAGCTAACGGATTTGGTGTAATTACCCAAATCACTCCCTATTCTAAAAATAAGAGAATTAAAATAGACAAAGTCAACTAATCAAGCAATAATGAAGATTAGGTTTCCACACATTTGCTTTTTTGGCAATTTCCTGGGAAGCAAAAGCAAGGAGCAAAAAGCTAGTAGCAAAAACAACAATTGAGTGAAGTCTAAATAAATATAGATGTGCATATATGATTACGGCTAGCATGGTAAAATAAATAGAAACTAATGCTGGAGTAAGTTCTGGAATTAGGGAGCAATTTATCATGTTCATAGCCTGGTTGGAGTTATTTGGGCTGTCCAATGTGTGAATCTTTCTAAAATCAAATAAAATTATGTAATATTAGGTTGTCAACTTTCTCTATTGCAATAAATTTTTTCTGCTTTCAGTTTATCTGTTTTAGTACTTTGTTGTTGTAGGATCTCTTGCTCTGTGGAATTTATGCACGTAGAGAGGCTCTTTATGGGAATATGGATCACGCCAGAAGAGTTTTTGACATGGCATTGTTGTCGCTTTCTGGGCTTCCATTGGTGAGCTCTTAATGCTTTGATGAATATTGATCCAATAGATTGATTCACTGTAGTAGCTGAACTCTGCTTGCAGTGGACAAAAGATTTGCATTTTTTAACAAAATTTTTAGTTCAAGTTTTAGTCTAGCTCTGGATTGCTTTTACTTTCCATTAACTAAGATATTAATTAGTATGTTTTATTAATACCTAAGGAGGACTCTACTTCTTATAGTCTGTTTTATATTCATTCTAGGTTATGCGTGATAGAATTTATGCAGCTGTTTGACAATTTTCTATATGGCTAATAAATAGGATGTTCATATTTTGGTACTACAGAAAGTTTGATACCTGTACGGCTGCACATTATAGCACTAGATAAAGCTCTGCTTGTGCCACTTTCTTTGTATTAGATTTGTAGATTCTTAATGTTAAATGTTCTGATGACTAACACTGGACAGTGTAGATAGCAGGGGCGATCTTGGAAATTTTGTAGGAGGCAAGGAGCTGTTATACATTTTCAATATAATTATAGGAGAAGAGTTAAAGAAAAGGTAAAAACACTATTCAATTTAAAAAAAAGACATACTTCATGAAAACAGTAAAAAACTTAAAACAATATAATTCATAGACCTAAATGGTTGAATAAGAATAAAAAATATCTAGCAAGTAATTAAACAGATGTAGAGTAGAAGTTATAGTACTTTAAAAAGAAATAATAAGTTTAATATTAAAGAAGGGATAGCAATTTTTCCCATTTTCAGTAGGCATCTCTATTTTTTGGCAGCATATCACCTACAATGATTGTGGTACAATTAACCAAACTCAATTTAAAATTGTGTGGGGACCATCAAAGTTTTATATGGAATCCACACTTATAAGTGGTGGGCCCCTACATAGTTTTTTATTGTGATTGGACAATTATAGTTCTGTAGTAAAATGAATTGTAGGTGAAATGCTCTCCTATTCTTTGTCTTGATTTGGGTGGGAATAGGCATTGCTTTTCTAATGGTAGAGAAAGGGATGGTAATCAGAATTGATCTTTGATAAAGAATGTTGATTGGGACAAAATCCTTGCCTCCAGGACTGATCTAAGATATATTTATTGAGGGCAAATATTTTAAGCTAACTTAGAAAACTTTTCATTGAAACAAAAATTTATATGAAAAAAGAATTAAAAACAAATAACATCTTAGAATTATTTTATTTATATAAAAGGGTTAATACTAAACTATAATGAAATATTAAATGTGGTACTTGAACTTTAAAATTTCTAATGTGGTATTTGAATTATGAATTTGTTAACTAATGTGGTACTCATCCTTAACGTAGCTAGTTTTAAATGATGACATGTGATGGACAAACAATTCTACAAGTATTATATTAGTTAACAAATTTATAGTTCAGGTATCACGTTAGAGATTTTTAAAATTCAAGTATCACATTAAACATTTCGTTATAATTTAAGGGCCATTCATGATATTAACTTATATAAAACAATACTGTCATTATGGTCCTTGATGGAATTTATTCATAGCTATAATATTCATTACATAAAAAAAAAAAATTCTTTCAATATATAGTGCAAAATAAAAAGCAAACTTTATAAGCAACTATATTTTAGTATAATACATTTTTTGTTCTTAACTAGTTTCGTTTGTTATGAATTCAAGTTCATTTTAATTTATATAATTATATAATTCATAGAAAAAAACATGCATCATGTCTAGGAGCATGAATAAAAATTAAAATGCCCCTTTTCGTACATAGAATATAAAAAGAATGAAGACATAAATATGTCAATTTATTCTCATCATATTGGAAAAGGGTTGTGGATTGCTTTTCATTCTTTTTTCTACTAATTTAAACTTTTCTATGAACTCTAAAAATAGTTTACTTTGTACAAGATTTATTCTTTATAAAATTTCTTATTGCATTCAATCGAAATTTTAATATATGATGAAATTTCTTACGACCAAAATGTAAATATTCAATTACTTACTAGGTAAACAAGAAAAAGTTTGTTGTGTGAGTTTCAATTTACTGACAGCAAATACGATAAAAATTTAGAAGGGATAAAAGTTGAGTACTTATACATTTCTTATATTTTGTCCTATAACCTGAAAAGAGGTTTATATCTCAGTTGGGATATCTGCCTCCGCTGCCTCCACTGTGGATCTATCCCTGCCTGCCCCATCCAATCCCCTATGTATGTTTTTATATGGTAAATAAATAATTATATAATATATATTTAGAGCAAGGTGGGGATGAGGATCACGCTTGATTGAGGGTGATAGGGATCATAATTATTTCTCCTCGGTAATCCCACTATGTTTTTTTATATGGAAAAATTGTGGCCAGCATAGCTACCACTACACTTGCAGTTCTGCACAATAACCACCATTGCCACTACTAATATCCATGATCATACCAATGCCTCATTGCTAAGGTGCTGGATTTTTTTTAATTCAAATGAAGGATTAATGTAGCCAAATGATTAAATACATTAAGTAGGTTTTAACTACTCAACATTTCAGCTGTTTTTGTTGAAAATATTTTATTAAATAGTTTTCATGATGAGTAACTAAAAGTATTGGGAAAAAATTGAAGATTAAAATTTTCATATCATTAAACAACAAACTATGGACTTCTATGCATCAGGCTATATACATATATGACGCAGACTTCTCCACTTTAAAAAAAAAAAATTGATTTACCTTCTTCTGGATTTAATTTGAGAAAACATGGTGGTGTTGAAAAGGTTGCTAGTGCAGTGATGAGTGTTCTGCTTTTATGAGATTAAATTGTTTTTTTTTTCTTCATTTAAATACTTTTATCAGGAGCAATTAAATATTTTAGCTTTTTTTTTTTGCTGTCACAAATTTATTTATTTCCCCTGAAATTTTCTAATTTATCTTCTTTTTCACCGATCTTTTTGTGCTAATTTGCTCTTCTAAACGGTTTATGTGTTTAACCTCTTATCTTACTTTTTCTTAAGCACTGTTGTAACCTTTGGTTTTTCTCCCTGTTATGCATAAAGAAATGCTTGAAGTTTACAATACACGATTTGACATCATAAACTTCTGAAAAGTTTCAATCATATTATGTGTGCATAAATGCAATCATTTAATCTATTTGCATTTTTTTTGATATAATAATGATATTAAATAGTCTTATTCACATGAGCAGGATTTACAGTCCAATTCTCCTCTTCTATATTTATGGTATGCTGAGGCTGAACTTGGAAACTATCATGGCTGTAATTCAGATTTATCATCACGTGCAATGCATATTCTCTCCTGTCTAGGAAGTGGTGTGATGTACAGTCCATTTAAATGTCATCCATCAAGCTTGCAACTACTGAGAGCACGCCAAGGGTTTAAAGAAAAAATAAACACATTAAGATCAAAATGGGTGCGGGGTTTTGTTGATGATCAATCAGTTGCCCTAGTTTGTGCAGCAGCTTTGTTTGAAGAGTTGGCTGCTGGATGGGCTGCGGGTATCGAAATTATAGATCATGTTTTTACAATGGTGCTTCCAGGTATTCATCACCATTTTTTTTTTCTTCTTTTTATTCTTCAATATGGTGACAGCTCTTGGGTTCTTTACCTTTTCAAGTAATTTAGCTAATTTACCCATGTAATGGTCATTTTTTTTACTAACTTTTTTTATTAAACTTCACAGTCTTTATTCTTTTCATTAAACTGAATGCAGGATTTTCTTGACCCATTAAACTTGATAAACTTTAAGATTAACCCATCACAGTGCCCTTTATTTTCCTCCTTCAATATTTTGGTGTATATAATCTTGAGCTGCACGATATGAGGTAACCTCCTGCGTCCCATGAACCTTGCCCCTCCCCTCCTAGTATTTGAACCTGAGACCTGGATATGAAGTTCTAACCATTATGGTGTTCCACTGGGGATATGCCCTTCAAGATTTAAAGTGTATTCATGGGTAGAAAAATAATTTTTTCACCAAGGCAGTTGGACCAAAGTTTTTTCCCTGTAAATTTGATTGATAGTGTTACCTGGTTCCTTTAACACAGTAGGCTAAATTCTCATGATTTGCAGAAAGAAGAAGCCAAAGTTACCATCTGGAATATCTTTTCAACTATTATGTTAGGATGCTTCAGAGACATCATGAGCAATTTGCTTTGTCCAAAGCCTGGGAGTCTGTCACACACGGGCTGCAAATATATCCATCCAGCCCAGAACTATTTAATGCTTTAGTGGAGATCAGCTCTCTTTACATGACTCCAAATAAATTGCGGTGGATGTTCGATGACTACTGTCACAAGTAAGATCGTCTTGTGTCTCTGAATTCTGTTCAGGATCATGCTTTTAGTTTTAGGAAGCATATGTCATATGCCATAAATATATATATAGATATATATATTTGAGGAAATAATGTGATTTACATCAGCCTCTGTGAAGGTAGACAACCAAATCCTCCCTGGTTTTGTTACATTCTACAATATTATTGTACTAGAAAATCTTGTTACACACTATGTATGTGTTTAAATAATTGAAAAGATAGTCACTTTATATAAGAAATTTTAGTTTTAAAATAGCTAATAACATAATGAGAAAAAAATAGGACAGTTTTAAGTTTTAAGGTAAATGGAGAAAAAATAGGAATGGTGAAGGTTGATTACTATGTTTGATGAGGATCGAACTCATTTTAAACTTTTGAAAAAATGAACTCTTTTCTAAATATTAGTTTTTCTTTGAATTCTCTATCACATTATAGTTTGTACTTTTCATCCTTGGTATTAAACTTCTTTCTTATTTTTCTTTCATTTTTAATATAGGAAATTTCCCCATTGAGACTTGAGGCTTATCTAGAGTGGTTTTTCTAACTACTAATTGATCATATATAATTATTTTATAAAGAACATTTTCAATTCTCCAAAAGAATTTAAAAAATAATCAAAACAAAACACCTACAAATTGTGGGGAAATTGACTAGAAAATATTAAGGAAAATTTCAACGGACATGTTTTTATTTGAAAATGAGCTAAAATAATAAAGTATAACAAAATAGAATCCAAGTTTATCCAAAGTAAGTTTGGTTAGGCATATTACGTGTGAGAGAAACTTGTTAGATAAGTAAAATAAAATGAGTGCCAAAACAGAAGTATTTATTATTGAACCATTTCTGACATTTAATTTTTGCTAACAGGTTCAATCCAAGCATTGAGAACTTTTCTGATAATAAATGGTGGGGGGGGGGGGGGGGGGGAATATCAATAATATGGCAAAAATGGAAAAAATATCAAAGAAAATTTGTGGCTTGGCTTGGTTATAAAGTAAAAAGCATTACGTTATTCAAGTGTGGAAGTTCAAAATAAAGTTACTTTATATTAATAAGTTAATAGTCTAATTCTGAAGGTGGCAGATAACATGCAAGTGATGGAAACTAGCAAGATTTTTACGATGTTCTTAAAAATCTATATATATTATTTTTATTGTTTAAAGTATCTTCTATGATGTGCCCTTAAAACTTAATTAAGCAAATTTTAAGAAGGGAAGAATCCCCTATTAGTTTTTGAACTTATCAGCAAGCATGTTCTCCTAATTCCATTTTTAGAATGGTTCAAGGACTCACTAATCTAAACAAAATTACACACTATATAAAAATGAAATATTAGATGAAATCAGTTAATTAATTATCTTCTAACCTATATTATTTACTTTATTTTATTTCAATTTCTGTTTATCTTATAAAGAAAAATCTACCTTGCTACATGCATGCATGCTTTCTTGTTTGTTTATATATTGTAAAAGCTGATCGGGGAAGACACTGGCCCATACAGAATGTTGACTTTCCCCTCTGAACATTTTAAAATTTCTTGTAGTAAATATATTCCTTAGGTGGAAGGTAAAGCCACTCTATTCTTGACGCATAATGCTGAATCTTATGCAAAAAATGTTTGAGCATTTTTTCATTTTTTGGGAGGGCACTGATGTTAGTGAAGAAGTTTTAAATATTTTCTTTGAAGTGCTACTTCCCTTTACATTGGATCTGTTTTTAACTGGGTATTGGTTTTTTCTGAAAGCTATTTACAATCAAAGTGTACGCTCAAGAATCTGTGTTATTCAGATTGTCATATGTTGTCTTTCCTTTCCACCTATGCGACTGCCAGCTTCATTCTGTGAATTTTAATTTTATTTTTTAATCTTTTATGGATTATTTATTATTGTTCTCTCATAATAAATGAGTGATAAAAAACAGTACTTAATACATGTATATTTGCATTTTTGCATTCCATTTCTCTTTAAATAAATGAACTGACCAGGTGTTTTTGAGTGAATGATTTAGCATCTTACTTTTTGGGTTTGTGAAGAAATTGCATGGACATGATTTTCTCCATTTTTTTTTTTTTTTTAACTTACCTTAACAGTGTTATTCTATAATATTCTCAGGAAACCATCTGTAATTGTTTGGCTTTTTGCTTTAATGTATGAGATGAGTAGGAGCGGCTCTTTGCATAGGATCCATGGATTGTTTGAGAGGGCACTAGCAAATGATAAATTGCATAATTCAGTTATACTCTGGCGTTTTTATGTTGCATATGAGATTAACATAGTCCGCAATCTATCAGCAGCAAGGCGAATATTTTTTCGTGCTATTCATGCCTGCCCATGGTAAGTGACTTCTCCTTTGATGTCATGTAAACCACACTAGTTCTTTATGATTGAAAGCCAGCTATAATGGTAATCAACCTGTTAAATGGATTCAGGTGCCAAAATCTCAAACCAATGCAGTTAACCTGCTTTAGTTGTTGGCCAAAATGGAAACCCTGCTCTAGTCGTTCAACTTTCTCCAATTTACGAGTCTATAGTGGTGGTAATGTGGTATGAAAAGTGAGGACCAACAAATAAAGAAATTTTTAATGGAAATATATGAACATTACTATTTGTAACTACTGTATAAGTTGTTCTGTATGAAGTCATGATAAAGTTGTTGAAGCAATATTGAATAGGAAACTTGCTAAAGAATAAAAGTATATACTAATTAAGAGGAAAAAAAGAATTTGTAATCACTGTAAGAAGCTGGATTAAATGTTTTACATGACTGTGGATCAGTCAAGTCGGAATGGTTGGAATAAAATTCTTTTCAGCTGTTTAAAATGTCTCGTGCTTCTGTTTTTTCATCTGACATGTTTCGACACAATGTTCTTTTATATACTGAAGAATTTAGGTACACACTATTGAGGAACAACTTTTATTACTTTAATTTGTTGGTTTGTTTAAGGGAAGCATTTGTTATTGGTGGATGCTCGGCATTTCTTGTTGAATGATTACAAATTGCTATAGATTCTAGTAGAATTAGTTGGCCTCGGTCACAACTTTTAGTTCATCCAAACTTCATAGAAAGTTGGTTGATCTCTCCTAACCTTAATGTTATTGCATGCAATTCCCAGGTCAAAAAAGCTATGGCTTGATGGTTTTCTTAAATTGAACTCCATCTTAACTGCGAAAGAGCTGTCAGACCTTCTAGAAGTTATGAGGGATAAGGAATTGAATCTGAGGACAGATATTTACGAAATTCTTTTACAAGATGAGCTTGTGGCTTGATGGCATGTTGCCCGACATCCATGTAATATGTAACTCGAGAATTATGTTTTGTACGGAATTACATATATATATATATATAAAGTGAATTATTATAATGCAAATATTTTTTCCAATTTAGTGATGGCAAATTTGAGTTACAGGCCTAAGCAAACAGAATGATAAATAGTTCATAAATATGATTTTTGTTCATTTATGTTCATTTATTAAGCTTAACGGACAAACACGAATAATATTTGAAAATTCATTGATTAAATGAATAAATTTCAAATATAATAAAATTTGTTTATGTATTATTCATTTGTAAAAATTAATAGAGCATTTAGTAAATAATTTATAAATATATTCGATTTTTATTCATTGATGTTAGTTTATTTATGAGAAATATTTTATAATTCGTTTAATTAAATAAAAAGATTATAAATATAATTATGTTTTTGCTCATTTATGTTTGGTTTGTTTACAATTTTAATCTAAATAACAACCAACATAATAAATTTTGGTTCGATTACACTCTAATGTTAATAGTAACAAAACAATTAGTATTGGCTTGGAAAGTTGCAAAAGCCCATTTGATATAAAAGAAAGATTTTCTTCATTCAACCATTTGATGTAAGGGGAAGGTATACACGTATAAAAATTATAGGATGATATATATCAAAAGTAAATATATTTATTATAAAATTTACAGCACTTCTCAAGCTAGTGATTGAGTGGATATTGTTGGAGGTCAAATACTCAGTGGCTTTTATTATCTCGGCATTTTCTCTTGGCCTTCAAGGATTCAAGGGCTATTTAAACTCAAAGTTTAAGTTACATTTTGAGTAACGGAATGATTCTCAATCACATGTTTGATTAAAGTTCAAATACAAATCAAAATGGTGTGAACATATCCTAGGAAAAGGGGTTTGGCCAAATTGTTTGTTTATTGTTTTTCTGCTGCATTTTGTACATTTGAAGCATGAATGGTTGGACTCCAACAGCAAAGGCCAATCATTAGTAGTAGCAAGAGAGATGAACAATAGAACATATGCTAGTTTAGCCAACTAGAGAGAAAGTATAAGAATAATCAACTTATATGTATGAGCAAACCCTTTTGCAACAAGAGGGCTTTGAGACGAGCAATAAAGCCATCAGGATTAACCTTGAAAATGAACACGCATTTACATACCAATAGTCCGCATACCTTTTTTTATTTGTTCGGGGATTTTGGGCTTTATTACGTACATATCTTATCAATTAGTGAATTCATAAACAATTATTTTTTCACGTTTTTCTATCGGATTCAAACTCAAAAAACAAAGAAAAAAGAACTCTTCTTGCCGCTTGATTCATGCATTCGTTGGTTCCATCATAAAGGTAGCTTACCTTTTGTTAGTTGTGCTAGTTGCTATGTACCATTATCATCATAAAGGATGCAAATGAATAGATAGCATGAGAACATTGTCTTTCACCCATTGGAAGAGCAGTAGAAACACAAGACTAGGATCTGTAGCTAAGGAACTGTTGGTGGATGTGAGCTAATATGCAGAGAACTACAAGAATACACTTGAAGGTTGGTGGATGTGAGCTAATATGCAGAGAACTACAAGAATACACTTGAAGTAATAGGTGGTTTAGTTGGCACAGTGGGTCCAACATGTTGTGTCATATATAGTATATACCAAAATCTCATCTTGCTTCTTATAGTTAATCCCTTTTTAAGGCGAGAATATCCCCACAACACAAACTTTAGAGACTTGGGGTCCAATTTAGACAATTGATGACGACCATCACAAACAAAACAAGTACAAAAAATTATGTGGTTTAACTTTGAACAATGAATTAGAACGAAGCAAAACAAAATAAGAAATCACTAGAGAGAACAAATGAGGGCATACAAATAATTAAGAAATAAGTAGCTGAAACAACATCAACCCAAAATTTATTTCAAATGAAACAATAATTTTATGATTATCACTGTTTTTATTATCCAAAAAACATGTTTCATCACTAATTTTACTCTTATTGTTATAGTAACTAATTTCAAATGAATTCTTAATTTCAAATGAACCAATTTAACCATCCATTCAAATGAACTTTTAATAAGATAGGCTCAACTGATAATTAGATGATCTAAGACATGACAAAGTTAAGATAAATTTTAATTCTAATATTTCTTTTGTAAGTTTCTTGTACAACAGATAGAATGTGTGCTGCATTCCTGTACAAATTTAAGTTAACAAGAAGTTTACTTTTTATTCTTAGGCAGACTGCCTTAATTTATCGTGTAGTAATATATGCTTTTCAACTTAAGACATAATCAACTTATTTCATTTGGAGATTAATGAGGATAAGTTAGGGAAAAGAATAACCAACCTATTTTTATTAACTCTTTGATAGCGACTTTTAGCATCCAAAATTTTGTCGAAATATTGGTGGAATATGGTAGGCTGCCAAAATAAAACGTTAAACTCAGCAAGTGGGATTGCAAAAAGGCGTTTGCGGTATAAATACGATTAATGGAAAAGGAATTCCACAAATTAGTTTGATGGCTGCGAAAGCTGTGGTTAGCTCTACCCTTGCGTTGAGAATTTTCGCACTGTTCTTTTTAATTGGTTCACTGGTGGTACTAGTAACAAATAATTTCACCTTTGTCGATGTGCACAAAATAACTTTCAAGGATATAGCTGCATACAGGTGAGAGAGACAAATCCATATTTCTATTAGTGAACTTGAAATTTTATAAAAACAAATAGGATTATAATTTCAACTACAAAATTTTTGAATTCATTTAACAAAATAAAATACTGTTATATGTAGTTTCTTTTTTATTAAATTATATTTTTTAGTTTTTAATATATTCTAAAGGGCATGCTCTAATTTTTTAATTCCAAACAAATATGCATATAATTTATCCAAATGCTTTTATATATTCATTCATAAGCTGTGATAAATGTTTCTATATATGATCATTGAATTTAAACCTTCAATTACCCTCTACGCTGTGTGTAACTTTCAGGTATGTGTTTTCAGCTGCTGCTATTGGGGCATCATTTACTCTATTATACATCCCTTTCGTCATCTACCATGTTTACAGGGCAAAGGGGACAATACTCCCCGAATTTTTGCTCAATTTTGACTATTATGCAGATAAGGTCCTTTTTCCTAACCATTGCATGTGTAGCATAACCAAGGTTGAAGGAAAGAATAATTGCGTAAAAAGATTGTGCGTATTATGGCAGGTAATTAACAACCTGTTGGCTGCTGGAGTTGGTGCTGCTTTTGCATATAGCATGGAGTTGAAGAAATTTCTTAGTGGCCTTCTCGATAGCCTAATAGTTATTGGAGTTCCTGATGCAGATAAACTGAAATCAGAGGCAACTAAATTCCTTGATAGGGGGAGTTTTGCATCCAGTCTTTTGCTCATTGGATTCGTTTGCATGACGGTGCTTTCAATACTTTCCTCCGCCAAGCGAACAAAGAATACAAGAGATTCTTCGTATTAATTCTGGAAATATCTTCTCCGCATTCTTTGTTTTATTCTTTACTTTTGTTCAAGGAAATTTTCAATCCACAATTGTAAACTGACTGTTACAGACATGGGATATAATATAGAAGAAAAGGGTCAAGAAATTAATGGTAACTTTGTCGTAAAAACAAAACAAAGTTTACCTAAAATTATAATGTATCTCCTCAAATACTTCCAATCAGGGAATAAAATAGTAGTGGTGTAGCGGAATAGCGACTATAATTTTGCTGTAGCATCACTATCAGTCACCATTATAAAAAAAACTAATTGTGAAATTAAAACACACTCAAAACGATGCATCGCAGCCATAAAAAAATGACATAACAGGTAATAACGGCAATAACGGTCTGTTATTACTGCTATCTCCATTTTCCCTGTCAATAATTCAAGTTAAAAAAAAATACCAAATTTCCAAAACAATTGGCAAAGAATCATAGTATAACAATTAACAAACTCCCAAAACAAAAAAAGCAACTCAATCTTAGTCTCAAATTCAATTTCAAACAAAAAGTTAAAAATTGTATCAAATCAATTATCAAACATTTAATTGGCAGCCTTAAAGGCTTGATTCACTCAATTCACAAATTACCCAAATTTAGGTAAGCCTTAAGTCCTCAATCAACAATCAAGATAAAAAAAGCTAAGAGAAAATTAAATTACCTTTTTTTTTTTGCAAAATTTCTATCAATTTTTGTGTGAGAGAGATAAGGCCAAGGTTGTAGGTATTAGCAGTGGTAGTGACAAGGAGTGTGTAGGAAGGAGAGTTGGGATTGTTACAAGCTGAATTAGTTAGTGAGTTAGTTAAGTTGACTATTTTGTTATTGGTAAACTAAAATAGTTATCTGGGACAGTGAACTAGCAGTTGAGCTTCAAGTATGTTAAAATGAGAGTTCATTGTAAAAGGAAATCATAATAACATCCTTCCTAAAAATTAGTTTCTCTCTTTATTTTCTAAATTCTCTCAAGTTCCTTTACTTTTATTTGTCCAATTCTTTGCAAAATCTTCACTATTTGAATTTCTATCTTCATTTTTCTTATTATTGAATAACCTTGCAGTGAGTGACAACATTGGTATCAGAGCTTAAGATTCTGGCATGGCTATGATGGATGATCAACTTTGCAATGATCTTAGGGCTATCTTGCTCGCTGGTTAGGAAGAACTAAAATCAGATTTTGAAGAGATTGAATGAGGTTTCAACAAGATGGTAATAGGACCATTAATCTTGTAAAATTTAGGTCATCTAATATGCACCAAAAAATAGTGGATGTATCCTATGTATTGAAGAACTCCTGTAACCTAGAACAACTATCGGTGGCTTAGGAATGTTTTTGTCAAATTCAAAAAATGGAGTTATCAAATGAACATAAATTTGATTTCTCAATTGGTAAATCTTTAGACCTGCCACCCTTTTCTTTTTCATCACTTAGTCTTATATCTTACACGCCTCAAAACCCTAATTTTTTTGTGAATGTTCTTAAAAAACCCTGCATATTTGACAAGCTAAAACCTAACATGTTCAATGAACCTAAAGTTGATAAATTGAATAGTTAAGGGTTATTGAACATGCTAGGTACTCAACTGGTTCTATTATGGGTAAAATGGTGTAGCTTTTTGCTATTGGGAATTGGTTTAAGCCTATTAAGGTTATATATGATAGAAACTTAACTAGGCCTTTCTTGTTGATGATTGTTAATGGGTGGGCAAAGCTTGAAAGGCTTATTCAATGAGGTTTGTGGATGGGAATAAGCTTGTTGTCACCTTTGATCCATGCTAATTTAGGCTTTTGGTAGTGTGATTGAGGGGCAAGGGTGCTATATCATTACACAAGTACTTGTTGATTTCTTTGAACATGTTGATTTTTTATCAAAGGATACAGTAGCTATTCATATTATTGATGGTCTTGTTATGCTTTATGTTTCAAAAATGATTCCTGATTTTGACAAAGACAGGTTCTATGCTTCTGGTCATGTCTCTTTTGGCAAATTTTCAATTGCTTTGAAAGTCAAAAGCATGAGTCCAAATTATGCCCCAAGTGAAAATAAAAATTTGGATGTTAAAGGTGTGCAATAACTATTAACTAAACTGGAAAGAATACTACTTTGACTAATGAGAAGAAAGTTGATGTCTACCCAATTCTTGTAATGAAGTTCTCTATTTTTCATGTAGCTTTTGTTGTTGTTTAATGCAAGTTTACATATGATTTTTCTAAACTTGTTGAAGGGCTGAAGCGTTTGGTTAAACTTGATCCTATGATTGTCATGCTTTAATCTGTAGGGACTGGATGTTTATGGATGACCATAGAAAGATTGAAAGTTAGGAATGTTTTATCAAAGGAAGAGCATATTAATGTGTTGCACATTTCTGCACTACAATTAATTGGTTTATTGTTAGAGCCAAATGATGCACTAGAAGAGCTTGAAAGTAAAGTTAATCCACTCTCAAGGAAGGCTAAAAGAGGAAAGATCTTTCTGGAAGTTGGGATACCATATTTGGAAGTAAAATAGATTCTTTTGCTGGCCTACTATCAAGCAATGAATTTTTGTCTCAAAATTGAAGGGCACCTTATTCATGATCATTCTTTCTTTGGTTCTATTATGGAGATTTCAAACTTACTTGATAAAGTGAAATGACTTGATGGGAACCTTTCTTTTGAATGGAAGAAGATTTTGAAGATTAAAAATGTTGAAATAAGATAAAACTTGGTTAAAAAGAATGTTGTATTGGCATTTGACCCTGGCACAAATGGTCATGCTTCATCACTAGTAGAGAATTTACAATTGATAAAGCTTGATGACATGCCTAACTTGTTAAAAATGGAGTTTGTAAGTGATCAGAAGAAAGGGGGAAACTTAAACGTAAGTATGATCAAAAGGTGTACAAAGCAAGAAAATGTTAAAAGTAAAAGTAGCTTTTGAGGAAACATGGAAACAAAAAAGAATTCTTAGTTATAACATCTAAAAATCTTATAAAACTAAGAAATATGTGAAACCAATGAATGGGTAACTTGAAAAATATGATGGTTTTGCTGAGATTAAGAGGAAAGTTGATTATTCTCCTTTAAAAGAAGATATCATCCTGCAAAATAAAGCACCTAAATATTTCTACATCATTGTTAGTGTCAATATAGATCTATTGGTTATAAAAAATGAAATTGCAATGTTGAATAGATTTTTACACATCCAAAAGACATTAATGACTCATTCTGAAAATGCTTTTCATTGAGTTAGAGAACATGCTGGCTCATGGGAAGTTTTATATGATTTATAAAAAATTCCTTTTTTTCAATCCTTGAGGACAAGTTTGTAAAAGGAAATCATAATAACAACCTTTCTAAGAATTAGTTTCTCTCTATTTTCTAAATTCTCTCAATTTCCTTTACCTTTATATTTTTAATACTTTCCAGTATCTTCACTATCTCTCTAGATTTTGATCTTCATTTTTCTTGTTATTGAATAACCTTGGAATGAGTGGCAATAGAGACTTGATAGGCCAATTGGGGACTAAGACACTGGGTTTTATGGAGAATTTTTTGGAGATGCTAGAGTCGTAAGAGAGAGTGAAAGATTGGAAAAAGATGGAGACGTGAGTGGCTAATAAGTAGAGGAGGCTAGAGCAAGCAAGAGGTAAGAAGCAGACATCAGAGAGAGTGAGAGATAAAGAGGAATTAAGGAACATAATCTTAAAAGAGAAGACTTGATGAGAGTTTTGGCCACAAATTATGGGGTCTTAAGGGAATCAGGGTCTCAAGAAATTATGGGGGTAGGAATGGGATGTGGGTAGGGTAGGTATTCAGGTAGTCGGGTCACGGGTTGATGGGATGGCTTTTTTTTAATTAGTATTTAATTTTATTAAAATATAAATTTGAAAATTTTAATTTTGGAAAAATTTTTAGAGGAAATCTAGTTAGAGGGATTTATGAAAGTTTATAATTGAAAAAAAAAATAAAGGATTAAAATTTAATATGATATATATGGAGATTTCAAATGAAAATATTTGACAAAATTATTTGCATATGTTAGATGAAAAATAATTAAAATTAAATATTATATTTTGATTTTATTATTTATTAATTTATGATTTTGTATTTGAAATTTAGTAATAATTTTTGTTGTTTTGGTATTTATATAGTTGTCAATTTTTTTGCTATTAGATTAATTCTTATTAAGTTATTATTATATTTGTGTAATTATTAAAGATTCTATTCATTATATAATATGGTGAAAGTAATTTATGATAAAAAAAAAATCTTACATCAATTAGTGTGTCAAAAGATTAAGTTACTTAATAAATTGAGCGTTTCACGATGTATTACTTGTAAATTAAAAACTAAAAAATAAAAGATTTAATGTAGATTCAATTTTTAATGTTAGAATAAGTAACCTTAATTTTTTAAATGTAAGTTTATTTTGTTTTTATATGATAGCACATAAAAATATAGTGTTTTTACATGTGAAAATGGGTGCAAAATTTTAAAATTTTGTTGATTTTTAGTGCCTTAATGCTTATTTTGTAATTTTTAAGGTTTCAAGCTTATGGATGAAGAGAGCATGCAATTCATGCATGCAAAGGCATTGATTGTTGCTTTTCATTAGCTTGCATTGATTGCTACTTTTCGTGTAGTCTGTAAGTGCACAGATTAAGTAATAAAACGAAGTATTCTAGTATTACCTCCTTAGGGTTTATAGAATGTAATGTTGGGTTGTTCACAATTACCAATGGTGAAAGCTTAAAATCTTATATCTAAATAAATAAAAATTTAGGGTTTGGTTGTAAGAAAAGTAAAGATTAAAAGCAATGTGTAGGCTTAGATCTCGTTTAACCAATTATCACTTGGTAAGTAAAAGAACATAGCCATAAAAAAAATATAAAAGAATAATGATTGAAAGCTTGAAAACTAATAAGAGTGATTGCTTGAAGAAATCTTGAAATAAAGATTGTGTGAAAATAAGTTGTAAAATAATAAAGAAAGTGGTGGCCGAATCTTGCAAAAATAAAAAGATGCTTGGAATAATCTTGAAAGAAAATAGTATGCCTATTGAAATAAAGATTGTAAAAACAAGAATTGAAATCTAAAAGTAATGCCAAAGAGATCTTGAAAAATAATACTTCTTTGAATTGAAAAAGAATTTAAAGAAACAAAAGCTTTGTGGTTATTGGCAAATTTGTCACCTAAGCTAATAACTAAACTAAAGAAATAAAAGAACTAAAACTAAAAACTAAAAAAAAATAGAGAAGTGAGGAGTTGGATGATGGAAAGAGGGTGAAAGACCTCCCTATTTATAAGAGAGGGTTCGGCCAAAGGGGTAGAGATTACAAGATATATTTTCAATTTCAAATTCTAATGGATGACTGCTTATCCTAATCTTCTTGGAGGTTGGCCGAATGTGGTCTTTTTGAGCTTGAGTTACCTTGGTTGAATGGAGTATTGGAGATGTAATCTTGGCCCTTTGATTAATGCCTGATAAATCTTGATAAAACTCCTTTCTTGGATTAGGATAAAGCTTAGAATTCAAGAATAGTTTGATTTTTTTTTAATTATCTTGATAATTATCTTGCAAATTCCTTCCTTTCTCAAAACTCTTCATTAGATGAGCTAAAGAGTCCATCATGAGCTCTAACACTCTTGATCGAATGTATTTGGCCTTTATTGTGGAAAATTGCATGAAGGCTCTCTTGGATGGAGTCTTGGCTGAATAGTATAGAACTTGGAAAGTCTATGGTCTTGCAAACTAATCTTCCTCTTTGTATGGTAGAATGCATAAAGTCTTTATGCAAACACAATTTCTTTGGGCAAACATGATGAAGTGTCCTTGTGCAAGTAGAACTCTATCTTGTGGGTCAATGTGGTTCGGTCATGAGCTCTAATGTTGGGTTGAAAATACTCCTATGCATGCTTGCATGCATGGCTTACATGATAATAAAGGTTATGATCTTGGAAACCTAAAATCTTGAAAACAACATTAAATGCACTAAAAATTATCCAAAATTTAAATTTTAGCACCATTTTTAGCATGTCAAAACATTATATAATTAAATGCTATCAGGCATATGTAGCCATGCAAGACCAAGGGTTGGCCAAACCATATTGATGTAATTTTTTCAACCATGCAACAAAAGAAGAGTTTTAATTGCCCATGGACTTTCCCTTTTATTTGGATAAAGATATTTACTTTAAGAGTAATTATCTTACTTAGCCATGAAGGAATTTTGCTTACATAATGACTCTACATGCATTTGGCTAGCTCACTTCTAAAAGGAGATCAAACACACATGTATATTTGAAGCTACCATGGACTTTTGCATGATCGACCAATGGTGTTTTCATCCAAGATGAACTCTATCCATTCGACCATGGAAAGATGAAACTTATTTTGCAAGCTCAAGGACTTTTCGATCCTTATCATGTTCAGCCAAGACCCCATTTGAGAAAGACTTGATGCAATTTTCATCAATATAGAGACTAGATACATTCGGCCAAGGAGAAAGTTTCAAAAGATCATGACACTTTGGCTTAGCTTTGAAGAGTTTTGCTTGAAATTCAAATCCTTACTCTTGAAAATCATCTTAGTTGAATCTAAGCATTGATCAAAGGCCAAGATTGTATCCATAAGACCCCGTTGGCCAAGTATTCTTAAGAAAGAAGAGTCCCATTCGATCATGCCTCATTTGAAGATCAAGGCAGCCTTCTTCCATTACTATTTGAATTTAAATAAATATCTTATGAAATTATTCCCCTTAGCAAAATTCTTCACTATAAATAAGGAGGCCATTTACCCTATTCTATCATCCCATTCCTCACTTCTTATCTCTCTTTTAGTTTTTAGTTCTTTAGTTCTTTTCTTTTTTTAGTTTGGTTATTGGCTTAGGTGACAAATTTGCCAATAATAAAGCTTTATTCTTTAAAATTTTTTTTATTTCAATTCAAAGAAGTATTTTTCCAAGATATTTTCTTTCATTGTTCTAGTTTCAAATCTTGTTTTTACATTCCCAGTTTCCCAAAGCATTTTCTTTATTTTACAAGTTTGGTTTGCAATCTTTTTTACTTTCTACAAGATTTGGCTTACACATTCTTTTCTTCTATTGTTTTTCTTTCAATACAATCTTTGTTTCAAGATCTCTACAAGCATTCGGCAATCACTTTTTCTTAATTTTAAGTTTTAAAATCTTGTTCTTTTAGATCTAGTCAGTGGTTATATTCTTTTACTTCCCAAGTGACAGTTAGTAAAGTCAAAATTCAAGCTTATATTACTTTCAATCTTTTCTTTCTTTATTTTGCAATCAACCAATAAAATTTTCAATTGTTTAGATATAAGGTTTTAGGCTTTCACCAATTAGTACTTGAAGAATTACCCAACATTATAATCTATAATTCATTAGGAGATGATAGTGGAATACTTTCATTATTATTACTTGATCTGTACACTTGTAGGTTATACAAAAAGCAACAATAAAGTTTTTGGCACCTTTACCGAAAAATATAGCGATGTTTTCAATATCAATAAGG